GAAGCTCATTCAATGAGTTCAATCTCACGAACGACGCATGTGCTTCGTTTGCTACTGATGTTGCCTCTCTGCAACAGCGTCTTATTTGCGGAGAGGAGACTGCATCGGAAACTTTGAGGAAGTGCTTCTCTACCACCACACTAGTGAAAAACTCACTATCAAGGACGAGATATGCACATGCGTGCGCGAGGCTATCGCCAGCGTCAACATTATTGATAAGCGCACGAACCGGTCCCCTCCTAGCCATGGCAAGTTCATGCTTTAGGGCATTAATGAGATGTTGCCTCACCACTACAATAACAAGCCAAGTCCATTAAATGTTGTTATAATGAAAATATGTACAAATAAACGTATATTATTTAGTTAATAATAATATAAATATTACCTGACCAAGGGAATTTTGGTAAAATATTCGCTCAAGGGTATACTTAAAGCCGCTCCACTTTTTGGTGATACAGAACATGATATCAGCCAAATTAGTCACCAATCGCTGCTAGACGCGTGCAATTGGTGGTTAGATAAATTTACGTTGGAAATTTTGGTTAAACATGGTTAAAATAAGGCAAAAAAGATTGATTGAAAGACCGTAAATATTCATAAACAATTATACATCCACCCTACTCTGAGCATCCTCTGCTCAGCTCTCTCCTTCGCGATTAATTTACGTATACTTATACGCAACGTCCAGGAGCACGCACACTGGTATTAAAAAGTGCAAGGGCTATCCAGTGGTTGGTTATAACGTGCCCTGAGGCACCCAGTTGCACTATCTGAGGCTTTCCATCGATCATATCGGCAGTTAGGAGACTTATCCACGTATTGAGTCAGGAATTGGACCCTGGGGTGATGAGATCCTGCAACAGATTGAGATCACCAAATACCTTAATCGTTAAATGCGGGTCGTATTCTGTAAGCTGACTACCCTCGGACGACGTTATACAGTCGATGTTAGATAGCACTTGCACAGCCACATCAACATTTAATACGAAAAAACTGAAAGTGTGTATTTAATGGACTCAGAACACACAAGGTTTTGTCCGCAAATTTTCTATTCGTGGGCAGAAAAGCTCTTTGTCGAGAAATATGTCATTGTTTCGTGGAATGGTCGTATGCTGTAGTCGATTATAATTTGCAGCTAAGTAGTAAGCCAAATATGGTAACGGATACAAAACTAATATTGGGCGATTCAAGCCTACTGAGGAACGTCGGTGACTCAATTCGGGTGTCTGTTTACGGTAAAAAAAGCAAGTCACCAATTGTTCGACTGAAGTATGTAAAAAAGAAGATATTCGCGGTGCTGAAGACAGCGTCGATGCCACTTGCCAATATTTTTTTCAGATTCGGTCCCGATTATTCAGCCAATGACAATGCCATCTCATTTCAACAATGTGATTGAGTGTGGTAAGTAGTCTATTATGCCACTTAGAATAATCTACAACGCAGAACAACGAAAAAGCCGATTATCTGGCTCCCGTCGGTAGGGGATTTAGTCTAATAAGGCCACGTGACGTCTACTTCTTAGCAAATCTTCAGCGGATGATAGTTTTTTATGTCAGAATTTGAGACGAGCACATTACATTTGCTATGACGGCTACACGCATTATAAATTACGACGTAAGGACTCGTTCGGTGTTAAAGTAGACTCAACATGTTTACTGGTGATATGCATCATCACACTGAGGATGTCGTCGGATGATGTCGTCAGAGTGATGACGCATCCAACCAGTTTTTACAAAATCTGTAGTTTGCGTGAATTTAGTACTAACTAAAGCCGCCAATTAGACGAATCGGGATGTTCACCAAGCATTATGTTGGTTATTTTCTTTCTCCTTGCGCACATGAAGTATAACAGCATTAAGCGGATGGTAGGTGATCCGTAAACTGAGATACTCTTTACAGACAGAAAATACTGGTGGATAGACGTGCACACAGGGCATGCATACGCGCAATCACTAACATATCAAAGGCTTATCAATATATGAAATTAGATCGAATAGTCGAATTATCTATCGTTGTATCGAATATTCAATAACGTTTTCTATAGGGTTTGGAAACAAGAACTACTTCAGTTTTGTTGATCATTAGAAAAAGCTACTTCCCAATAGTTCTTGATGAGACAAGGCCAACGCAACGAAAGCAACCGATTTTTTTCTTGTAACTTCGAGACGCGCTTCAAAATAAAAAATCAACTAACTACATTCATTCCGATAGTGGAGGCGAGTAAATGATCTTCTAACCGTCTTGAATTTACTGCCTCCGTACAAACAGTGGATGCGAATATAAGGTCGTCACCCGGTGTGATCCATTAGGTGTTATAGAGCTTGCGACTCAACGTCTCATAAAAGTCAAAATAGTCTGCATAAAATAGTTTTGAAGATGGTGTGCTCATGCTATTTAGGTCGGAGTAGTCGTCGCTTATGGAGGAATTTGCTATCAACATGCATGATCTATGACTTACCGCAGTAAGATACAAAAATGTTGGTCAACGTTTGATGCATGAGCAGCTGAAGGGTGCGAGATCACGACTGAATTCGAAATCGTTATTTTTGGCTCGTCGCATCCTGAAACTCGGATGCCAACATTGAAGACGCTCTACAGATGTGGATAGGCAAATGCTATAAATGATACCGCATAAATAATAAATTTGTTTCATGCTGTCCACCGAGGGTTGTGAGGCTCGAAAGACCCAGCATTTTCAGGGTATTCTTGAAAATGAGAACGCAAAAATCGTGTAACTTTTGAGATACATATTGAGCTAGATACTAGTTGCAACAAGACTTCTGATCTCATTGACTTGACCGTTAAGCCAACAGCGAAAATAAGCTCGTTAGCAAAGTACTTCTACAATCACCTGTATATGCTGGATAACGTAAAGAGCAATGTGTGTAATCAAGTAATTTGATGAGCGCGGCAAGCTCAATGTTTGAAAAAAAACGAACAAGTATAGCGAGGAAAGAACGATGACGAGGAATGTGCAGTTATTTATAAATAAAATACCGCAAAGCGCGAAATTTGGTGCTGGCTTTTAAATCGGCAGCGAACTATATATGGCTTATAGTTTCGATGGTGGGTGCGCTGCTACCTCCAACTTGCTGCACTTAAACTAATGACCATGGAGATTTATATGTGCACGAGTATTATGTGCCCACTCCCACAAAATAGGTAACAGAACCTCGCTGTACGCGAGAGACGATGATAAATGCATTTAGGAAGGTGCCCGAGATATGTGCAAGGTATTGTGTGGTGCTCTAGATGCCCACTTCAATTCGTATCACCAGTAGTCATTTCCATGACACGTCTCTTAGTGAGCGTATCAGTAAAAATGAGTTTTAATATTCATTGATCTCAATTATTAACCTCTCCTAGAATCAGAGGGAGATGGTTGAGAAAATTGCCCAGGGACGTAAAAATCAAGCACTGGACATTTTGAGGTGTTGTCCAAGAAAGCAATATATTATTATACCTAAACAGTTCTATAATAATAACGTTCTCAGATGGAAGACGTCCTCGTCCGAGACACAAAATAATGGAGTGGCGGAATCTATCAGTAATACTTATGATGAGTTTTTGCGCGATCAAGCTTGATACAAGGCGCTCAACACAACTGTCAAGACGATCTCGGCCCGGTATTATCATACCGAATCATATCCTGATATATCATTATAAGTTTAATGGAACTTTCGCCCGTATCCTTGTACACTGCCTATTATTCCCTGGAGCAAAGTAATGTGGCGCAGCATATCGAAGGCGACACCAGAATGGTGTTGAACGCTATGTTTTATTTGCAGGTCAATGGTCTAAGAGTAGGCTTGACCTTAGCCTATTGCAGACAGTAAAACTATTACATTATGGATTTTGCCAAAAGAAAAGGTTCGCTCCATTTCTTAGCCGCCGAAAAACGAAGTGTTTGTTAGGCGCGTTTTTCTGTCTTTCTTTCTTAGCTCGCTATTCATGCACGACAGCGAAAATGGTTTTGAGTCGTATTTTTGCTGTTTGAACCTGATCCTGGAACACCCTTAAGTGATCAAGTTCTATAATGAACTGCGACACGGCCCGAACCGACCAACCCTGAATAAAATAGTGACCAACATCAATAATGAGGAGCGTTAACATTGCCTTAGTTGAGGGTCAATCATAAGCAATGCCTCTGTGACGCCTTAGCAAAATTTCGGCAACCGAACAATATCTACAGCCTTTCTAATGTAGTTGGGCAACGCAGACGTTGTCTGATACTCATGAGGCGAATGCGGCCAAATGATATTTTTCTAATGTGCTAAAGTATGCGCTAAGGCGTAATTTATATCCTGAAAGCTTCAAATTATGGGCTGGTGCGAAAGACCAGTAAACAAGAAGCTCGAATTTTGCGTCTATCAAAAATGGGTTGGCGAATACAGTAGAGAAGTACGGGAGGGAGGGATGCCCTGCTGACTCGGACTCTTAAGCTACACACACGTGTAATTTTTTAAACAAAGGTAGCATAGTCTACGTCAGGCCTCATAATTTTGATGAGATATACAAGATGTATAATTCTTGCAATTGTGTGGACGCCACCGACAGTTATTTGTGATCGGTACATATAACGCCTCTGACTACAGGAAGTCCGTGTTACATCCAGATGTGTACGTACTGTGAAAGCTTATCAGGCCCAAACCTGCTTCGGATGGCGCGTCGCTTGGCCTAAAAGATTCCTGCCAGCGGCAGGGGCATGAGGGCGGTACGGAACTAGTCCAGCTCTTACTTAAGAATTAATATATCACTTTCGGCCGACGTCGTGATCGGTAAGATGGTCGCGAGGCCGATGCACAATGCGCGAAGTCGATTGAAATGAGGGATGCAATTCCGAGCGTCATTAAACAGCGTGTTGGCGTCGTGCTTGTCGATCGCCTTCCGCATCGCGTCGTCGTCACGGTACATCTTGATCAGGTCTTGATGGCTCGCTTCGATCTCCTAACTTGCTCAGGCGTCCAAAAATATTCGAGGCGGTCGCGGTTGAACACGTCCTAAAAAAACTTGGAGGGAAGCAGCCTTACTAGCTGTTGAGGCATGACAGTCAGCGCGCCGTGGTCTAGATGCAGGTTGTTCTCGTCACGCTCGGCCTTTACGCCCATGAGCCCATGGACCAGCATAATGACGTACATCGCGATCTGCTTGATGAAATAATTCTGGTCGTTAGCCTCGAGACGATCACGGTGCTCTCCAGAAGCCAACCCTTGGTCGTGGATGTGACTTTTGATGCCCATGACGTCGATCCGCGTCGACCCGACCGATACGAACCCGGCCTCGTCATTGTCGTAGCTATCGTCCAAATCGACTACTTCGATGCAGAACATGATGGTGAGCTTGACGGTCAACGCATTGATACATTCCTGCTGCTGCGCGAGCAGCAGCGACCGGCTCTGCAGCTTGGCGAACTCGACGTTGATATCCTCGATGGCGGGCGCCACCGCGTACGTGATGAACCACAACTCGGCTGATGGCAGGTAAACCGGGTGTTTCTTATCGGTGTGCGCGATGATTGAACGTTGATACTGCTTGCAGAAGTTGAGGTGGCGACCCAAGAGCACCCAGCGGCTCGCCTCCTTCGGACAAGCAAACGAACCAGTGCTCGGGAGCATAGGAAGAGCCCCCAGGCGGGATCGAGCAACCGACCTTTCGATTACGAAGCGAGTGCTCAATAAGCTGTCATGCGACCGCAGATGGACGGACAACAAGTAGACATCCTTGGTATAGGCGCCGTCGTTGATGCTTTCAGCCGCCGACTTGACGGTGATGTCGATCAGATGCGGCGCGCACCTCACACGCAGCACATTGAACTCAGCTCAACGCGCGATGCGAGTGACGAGACAAGCGTGGTGCCCAGTCATCGTGTTCTCGCCGTCTAACGACGCGTCGAGCATCTTGACACGCCATTCTGTGTAGAGCGCGTCAAAAAACTTGACGAGTATGTTGTAGATGATCTCCGCCTTGTGGATGTCAATAATCGGGAGGCTAACCGGGTGGATGGTTTAGAGCAGGCCCTTGTAGCACATCCGCACGCGAACATCGAAGAAAGAATACTCGCGGTAGGTGCTTACGTCGAACGCGAGCGAGATGGTCCACACGGACGCGTCGTCCATCATGTCCGAGATATCTTGTACGGAGACGCCGATTAGGACGCGGATATTCTGACTTTAAATCATCTCTTTGACCCGTTCAATTTGGCCGTATTGGTATGGTACCTGGCGTGCTGGATAGCAACCACCACCTGCCCAAATTTCATGCCAATCGACACGTGGTCCATTGCAAGCTCGAATCGCATGACGTTCTTGATGATGACCTGATATTAATCAGGATCGTTCTCATTCTTGACTACAGATTTAAGGCGTTGGTCTGCTTGGAGGCCTTCTTGGCGATTGCGTTGACAAGCACCTCTTCGCCACAAAAATACAGGTCGCCAAAGATTGTATCGGCGATGCGGGCTCTAATGTCGTTAGTCAGCGTGTCGTTCTCCAGCGTCTTGTGGTTATGTGGCGTATCGGCCGAGTTGATTTTTCTTGTGAATTATTGTTTTATGTCGGCGTTAGACATCTCCTGGTAGTGCTCCCATGATTCAGCATGCTGTGATATTAGACGGCTCCGGTATTTGTGAGGTACAACGGCACGGTGAGCATCTTGATGTTACCTGTCTGCTTGCGCTTGCGACCGTTCTGGGCAATCTCTAGCTCTTCGCAAGCCCTCGTGCACGCAGAACAGGCACCAGCAGGTGCGCTGCCGTCGGCCTCATAAAACGTGGGCTCGACTCCAAACAGCAAGGCGTGACCAAGCTGAAACGGCGTGGACTTTCCTATAGTTCACGGTCTGGCGTATATATGCCGTCTGGCAAGATCAGTAGGCCGTCGGGGAGATCTTGACGCGCGGTGGAACTTTCTCGCCCGGATTCCTTTTTTTGTAGATTGTTCGAGACTTTATTTGTGGATATCGATCGCTATTTTTTAGTGAATTTACAAAATTTTTGAGGTTTGGTCTACGGAATACCTAGATTATGGGTTTAAACATGCTGGTATAAAGAGGTCGAGAGTGAGTCATGGTTAGGTAATTACCCTTCTCAAAGATTTAGTGCATCACATTAATAAGATTTCGCTAATCTGAAATATAGTGTGGGGTACAATGAAGCTTCGACGGGATATCAACCTCCAAGAAGTGAACGTATGCTTAGCAAACGGTGAGCTAGCGAAATTGAAGGAGGTCCACAATGAGCTTCCCGTCAGTTTCAGTGAATTGTCGTGTAAAAAAAGCTTCCGATGCGAGGAATGAATGGTTTGAATGACCTCATCCTTGGCATGCCTTGGTGGGTAAGGCAACAACGAGGAGCAGACTGGCGAACATGCACAGTCGCTAGCTCTACGCAAGACCTTAGAAAGGATGTGCTCTTGCAAGAGGTAGAGCGAGCTGAAGCTATGCTTAACCCAGTCAAGGGTGCTATGGCATTTGGTCGTACGACACCAACGATTATACAGTTCGATAAATATAGCGCAATCATTAGCGAGCTTACATTAATTCAATCGTCGCAAGAATCAGCATAGAGTTAAGCGCCTTGCGCGATTGAAAGGGAGACGTTGGCTACATCAGTAAAGATGTTTAATGTAAAGTCAAGGAATGCTGTGGTGACGAGTGCAAAGAGCACAAATTAAATTCTAATACGTTTACGGCACGTCGAAATGAGCGACTTTTGGCTCAGTCTCAGATTAATTGGATAAAACTACGAACGAGATGCTCGAGGTCGTCGACGACAAGGTATAGGAGATATCATCAACGGAGGTGCTCCACATGTCTTGGGATCTGCCGAAGACATACTAAATATCTCGGAAAGGATGTGGAATATGTTCCTGTCCAAACAAAGGAAGGTAAGACCTACGAGTTTTTTGCTCCAGTTATTGATGATAATTTGGTGAACTGTCGCTATTCGCTTACAGAGAACAATAATGTGTAGGAGCCGGACAAGACAAAACAATTTGCTCTGCAATAGAGACGCCGTGAAGAGCAGTACTTTGTAACGAAGGTACAAAAGAGCATCGAAGTGTGTTTTCAACAGAAGTGCCGAACTACCTACAACTGATAGTGTTAATATTAATTAAGACTGGGAATTGTTGAAGAAGTGAAATTTAAGAGCAAATATATTGCCATGCTATTTGTTTTAAAACTACCGGCATTGTAATTTCAGCCTCTCCTAGATCCTGCACGATGGTAACACGAGCTTTGCTCACCTGCCGTCTTATTTCTCGTCTGTGAAAACAATAATATGTAAAATTGTAACATTTCTGAGAACCGGTATTTTCTATAAGGCTTGTAGCCTGTCCGTAAACTAGTCTATACAACATTGTTTTCAACAGTGAACAGGAATGGTACTGACTTAGAACCTAGGAGCAATTATTGTGTGACTAGGTTGTGGCAGTTGCAGATTAAATTGGTCATTAAAATGATTAGGTTCTTACAAGTGAGCCAAGGCCTTACTTGTTTTCGAGAAAAAGTTGACTACCTGTAGCCCGGCCTTTTATTTGCGTAAGGCAACAGGTGATTGGCGCGGTATCTATGCTTAAAATAGTCCAAACCACGGCTACTATACCCGCGTAATCGTCGATCCCGCGGAAAGATAAGGTTTCAAATTTAATGGGAAGTCAATCATATTTACGCATTAGATCTATAGAACGGGTACTATTATGTGCTTGTGTATGGAACCGGTGTGTCCAAAACGATCGTTATTACCTCACGCGGTATGCTGTGGAAGTGTATAGTAATTCCGCGGGGATTAAAACGCGCCAACAATACTTTATAGAGCGGCCGCTCATGCACTGCGCCCCCATCATGCCTTCGCCCGCATTAGTTAAACACCGTTTTTGTTCATAGTAAGGCCGAGTACACTGTTAAGCGAGTTAGCTGCACAAGCTTCATTTAAAGCTGTGTTGGCATCTTGTTTTGACAGCTTTGCAGGATTCCACCATCCTACCTACGTTTAGGTGGCATGACGACAAAAATATTCAATTTGTTAAGATTATAAATATATAGAAATATTTATAAAATGTTAAATAAAATGCCGTGCGGTACCACGTTATGCGAGTGAACTCGCAGGGCCGTCAAAAAGTAGCACACAAGACAAGCTGCACGTCTTGACTAGTTTACCGTTTAATGAATCTACCTCGCTGCTAATTGAATCGAATGTGGACAATCGTCTCAAGAGGGGGCGGCGTCACTGGGTAAATTCGCTTCATGAGACTTTCGTGTGCCCACAAGGGAAGGTATGTGAAAGATTTTAAGTGCGGTGCGCACTTAGACCTATCATGTGGCTGATACACAGCAAAAGTGTACCTGACAGAAGAGTTTGTGTCATACACAAGGAGTACGTCACACCTTGACTTCGCCAGATGACCTTTATGTTAATAGCCGTCAAAGCGCTTTTATTTAGTTTACCAGGAAATAATGAGACGCGCCCTATCGGAGCGCGCGTCTAGTCTTTTGTCGTTTTGCCACTAGTCACTTAGTCATTTTTTGATCATTACAAAGCAGGCTGTCTTACAATTGCAACCTATCTGGAAGTGTAGACCAAGGACGAGAAACCGCTTCCGAGGACACTAACAGCAAGCATTATACAATAGATAAGGCACTCTTACACGAACGTCGCTGCAAGGAGAGAGAGAATCGTATACTGCTTTCTCGCAGGTGCCCGAAGGTGTGTGTACAAGTCGCGCTTGGCATGTTAAGCGCCTAATTACATATGCGGCATTATACGCTATGAAAATTCAAGAACTTACGCCTAGCGTTCCAGCATAATGCTAATTTCTTTCCAGGTAAAAACATTAAGCTTATCTTCCTGATGCTTTGAAAGGATTAAAGGCGTTGAAGCGTTTTGAACCCGTTCACAGTTTACTCTTCAGCAAGAAAGAATGAATTGCACACACGTTTTAGGATCATAGAGAGCAGGTCTCCGAGGGTTTGTGAACTGCTTACCTCCACCTCCTTCAAGTAACGTAGACTTGTTTCTATCCAATAAGGTGCCCCGCGTCTTTTAAAACCTCACGTTATACCAGACTAATGGTTTGTGGCGGGTACTAGGATCATAGGAGCCTGGAGCTGTTTTACGACGTAAAGCCTGGTGCAGGTGCTGAATGCTCCGTAGAAACAACATCAACGGATGCCACGTTTCTGCTAAAAATCTTAAGTCTCAGATTAACCTTACGCTTCAGCGTGAACGAGCTTGACCTCTCCGATTGGTACAGTCCAAAGCGTGTTGGCATTACCGACGCCACTTGGTCGTGGAACTGGAATGATAAGGATAAGTCATGTAGTAAGCAGCCGTCGTGACGTGTATCTAACACATTTATGCCGTGCAATACACGAGATTCTACGTGCTCTGGGCCCAATGCTTCGGTCAGCTTAGTAAGCAGGACCTTGTAGGCCTCAGAAAGAGAAGTTGGAGGAAGAAGCTTTATCCTCGCAGGGGATCAGCATATATACTCAGGCGCAGATTAATTACCATTGTTACCAAGTGTAACGAAGCTATTACAGCTACTTGTGTAGATTAGCTATAACAGCTATTTTGTGATACAAGGGCTTTTAGCCCGACCAGCTACTGTATTATTTA